TTATTAATGGGAAAATTATTAATTGGGTTAACAATGGCCAACTTATTAATTGGGTTATTAATAGTCAACTTATTAATTGGGTTATTAATGATCAACTTATTAATTGGTTTTTAATTGAGTGTCTCCCGGGCACGTCAGCTGCTAAGGACATTAGCCCCGCAACTGCACGTTGATTATAAATTACTATACACGCCTGCTGTCAAATTAGATTTCGTTGCGCACTAATTTAATGGTTATTAATGATTTAATGAATCCAGAACTAGCTTTAAAACATTTAAATTTTTAAATATTTTAAAAGCTTTAAATGTTAAGGAGGAAAAGCGTTTAAAACCTCGATGGGGGTTGGTCGATGTATTTATTAACATGGATGAATTTTGAAAATCGATATCGGGCAACATAGATGTTTTGAAGTCGATGTCGCATCACTAGTTGGGACACGCACCGGAACATACATTCCAACTGACCGTCAGCATGACCGGTACTTCTGTGGACCTAGATTTCGAGTTACCTTGGTGACGAATGTTGAACACTAACTACATATCTAGATCTCATTCAACCGCTGTCTGGAAAAGAATTATACTAGTCAATTGCTCTGATAAGTAGTTTTCTCAGATCAGCATCAGGCGATGTCAGAAATTACCCTAACAAACGGACCGCACGCTATCCCGACAACGCTCCAAACATTGTAGCCCATCGTGTTTAAATCAAGTCTGTTATTTTCATTTATTTATTTACGTCAAAAACAGTTAAAAACTGTGTGTGACGTGCGATGGGAAGAAGTTAATTTGAAATTACATTTATGTCCAGAAGCAAAACAAGGAGTCATCTCAGCATTTGCTCGAGGACTGGACGAAAAGCTGATCGAGATGGGGTCATTGACCCAGACGCTGAAGTGCAATACTTTTAACAGGTTCATTACAATTATACAATACATTAAAAATACACAATACATTAAATGTCATTCTTAAAATTAATATTACTTTCCTTTTGAATGCTTGGTATAGTCTCTAATTGTATTGAAACAGTTGAGCAGCAGAACATATTCCAATTTATTGCATTACTAACCGTTTTGGATTCTTCTTTTAAATCAACCATGCTGTTTTAAATAAGTTTTTCTCAGTTTCACACCCCGATGGTCTTCATAATGGTAAAATACAACATTGTCCTTTATCCATTTTTAAAATTAGCTAATAATGAAAAGAATTCAGAAAATGTGTGATGAGAAACAAAAGTAGCATTTTTTAACTAAATATTATTCACCTTACAAATGTGCGTGACAATTACAGTGTTAAGGTTTCACCTTCTTTCCGATGTATATCATGCATCAAGTCCTACACTAAATTTCTGAATAAAGTCCAAACAATCGAAATTCTGAATTTCTATGGTTACTTTTCAGAAGTATGTAACAATCACACAAACTAGATGAAGATGAAATGTTAGAATACAAACATTTTATAAATATAAAGTTTAAAAGATTACGCGAGTAAAATAAAAAAATGTATGTCGCTACGGGCAATAATTCTAGTTCTGAACAAAGAAGTGAACATTCAAAAATGTATAGAGATATTTATGTCCCTCTATACTTGTAATGACAACCGACCGATTTGTTCAATAATGAAATGGAAGATTACTTATCGGCGCCGGGTAGGCGGATGGCGAGGCTGACTTTTCCAGACCTGTGTTTTTCTACAGAATGTTTTTCTACACATACGTACGTGAAGCAGTCTAAAATTCGTTAATGAGTAGACTACGGGAATATAATGTTTTAGTGAATGTTTTAGGAAAGGTCAATTCAACAAACGTTTTCTACTTTCTTGAAATTACGAAGGTCATAGTGAGAACTAGCAAGACGTTGCGTGGCAGAACATTTTAATCTAGTACTCGCACATCTATTAGGCTGCGTTTGTTGCTGCATTCGCAAATGAAGCGCGTTAGAAAAACGGGAGGGGCCACTTCAGTGCACGAACTATTTTGTTGAATAAAACTCACGAAGTTTTATTTATTTATTTATTTACGTCAAAAACAGCTAAAAACTGTGTGTGACGTGCTATGGGGAGAGGTTAATTTGAAGTTACATTTATGTCCAGAAGCAAAACAAGGAGTCAACTCAGCATTTGTTCAAGGATCAGGGAAACTGGACGAAAACCTGATCGAGATGGGTGTCATTGACCCAGAAGCTGAAGAGCAATACTTGTTACAGGTTCTTTAGAATTATACAATTATACAATACTGTTAGTAGTCAAAATCCCGAACTCCAAATTCGTGAGAGAAAGCGCGTGAACGAGTGCAGATTCAAGGAGACCTGGGCAGAAGAACGAAGATCCGGAGCTGCGTGTGGAGAGGGCCACTCAAGAGGCGTAGAACGGTCGCCGCCCTTGTCTGTTTGGCAGCCAGCGGTGCGTTTTGGGTGCGTGACGGCATTGCTGCGAGCGATTCGGCCTTAGCTGGGAGGAGATGGTTGACAGCCGATCTCATCAGAACGTTAGGTACTTCTGAATTTGTTTTCTTGTGAAAACGCTAGGAAAGTGTTAGTTTTGGAAGCTTATGTGGAAACAAACTGCGGAATATTGAACCCAATATTGAATGTTATTTAGCAAACCTCCTTTTTTGCTAACTAGATTGGTTAACTAGGAGATAATTAACTGATGGTTGATGACGATCATTGTGTTTTAATTACTCTATTAATATAACAATAAACAATAATTACCCCCAAAACTAATATGTGTTACTTTTATTCTGAATTGTATGAATCAGATTTGTACAAAGCATCGCCAGTTTTTTAATAAACATTTTACTTGCGATGAATCGTTGGTTGTATATTTACGTTGCTAAGGATGTTAAAACCCGTTGCTCTGAATTTTAAATTTCTTAACCTACGGGTAGGTACAAGTGCACTTAACAAACTTTTAGGGTTGCATGTTAACAAGGATTAAAGACGCATGAGACCGATGAAGTCTTTTACTGCATCGAGATGGCTTCTCCATTTCGTAACGCCGAGTCATCAGTAAAGAGACGAATATGGCATAAATGCTTTCCGTTTCCTCTCTAAAGTTTTATCTTAAATTATTGTTTATTAACCATTTAGATAAGAATATTGACTTTCTTACTCTACAGCTTGCGCAGTAGAGAGAAAGTAATGTAATGATGTGCGAAAAAAACGGCAAATTTTCGGCAGAAAAACTTTTATTCCCGGGCTCTGATAAAGTAAAAGCGGATAAATGCAGTTATTAAATTTAGAAAAAACTCTAACACGTGATGTAGCCTCAATCGCTGATCTTTTCTAATATTTGTATCTTAAAATAGTTCATGATATAAAAAAGTATGTGTTCTTAGTAAACGATGTAGATGGATGTAGATTGATTGATTGATTTAGATTTAGATTTATTGAGTCAAAAAACAGTAAAATCTTTATGTGACGTATGGGGAATAAGAACATCAGGGCACGTTTTCTTGAGTTCCAGAATCTCTTCTTATCATTTTAACTATAAATAGTTGAAAGATGAGTAAAAGTTAGAGATAAATAAATAAAAATAAAATTTAAAAATGCGGGAGATTAGCAACATTTTAAAAACTAGACATTTTTGTTCCCGAGTTGTAAGAAACATACTTGCAACGGTAAACACACCACAGATTTGATTTTTCTGCATTGCTAACAAAATAGTACTCGTAACTCGCCAATACCTCTACTCCTTCCACTACAAGCAAAAGGAGAGTTCAACAAAACGTGCTCCTAGTGGAGCTACATTTACATCCAGAAGCAAAACAAGGGGCCATCTCAGCATTTGCTCAATGTATCAGGAAACTGGACAAAAACCTGATCGAGATCGAGATGCGTAAATAAACAGAAAAAAATGAACGTGGGATTTATAATTTTTTTTTTTTAATTTGTAGAGCAGTGTAATCGTTCGAGAGAAAAAAAAATCATAGAAATAAGTCTCAAAAATGTTCGTAATTTTTCAAGAAGTTAAACTTTCAATCCTAAGTTAACCAAATTTTGCTGTAGTTTAACATAAAGTTTCCGGTGATTTTAATTGTAATAAATATACGGTTATTAAATTAGTGGTGCTAAAACAGCACGTACTTTCTCGCCTTCAGTAATGGTTATGTAATAATATTTATACCACAATTTCTCTCCGAATTAACGCATCTTAGTCATCATTTTTTGTAAAACTCATCTTTGAAGTCGTAGAACATTTAGTGATAGTGAATTAAAGTTTCAAGCTATAGATTTTTTTATTCAAATCTTTAAGTGGAAATATATTTCTGGTATTATAATATTATCCCAATATGCTCGTTTTAACTAAGGGCGGATCCAGAGACAAATTTTGGGAGGGAAAATTCAAAATATTTTGGTCGAATAAGTCTTATTACAGATTTTTTTTAATTGTCGCAGGTTACACTCAGCGCAAGCTGCGATACGATGTTATTCACTTCAATGATTATCCGAAAATACTTTTGCTTGAACGTTTCGTGACAAGTTAAAATTAATAGTTACTGAAAAATTTTAGGAGTGGGAAGAATTTCCCTCATTTCCCTCCTCGTGGATCCGCACCTGTTTTAACACGAATTACACTCACTCCAATTCCGGAACATGTAATGCTAAACACCTACGTTTTCACACCTACGAGAATTTTCCCAAATTGTCGAAGAAGAAACGTTTCATTTCCATCTGCATTCAGAATTTAACAACGGTTAGTAGGTAAGTAAACGGGTTACAGTAGGGATACCAGAATTTACGAACACAGAATACATTCTCCCCATAATACGTCACACTGTTTTTTCTTCTTTTTTTTTGAGTTAAATAAAATATAAAACAAAGCTTCATAATGGTTTCATCTCAGTGTTCAACAAAGAGAATAATTAAAAAGAATTTTACATTTTATTTTTATATTGTTGCTGTTCAACAATGGTATTCTCTGCATTGTTTCCCAAGACTGCATAGGTATGTATTTCAGACTATGGATGTTGACGTTTTACATCTCCCATCATGCCTTTTAACACCGTAGTTAAGTCAAGAGGACTGTACTCTGATTTATTTATGGCACTTGACGTTTAATCAGATGTTACGGTGCGATCCAATCGGTAACTTAAACGTTAGCTGCGGTAGCTAATCGACAGGTATCAACAATGACGTCACCTTAGTGACGTTAAGCTCCCGATTGGATGACACACTAACAGCTGACTTACGTCAAATGCCAGTACAAATGAATCGAATTGTAGAAACGAAATTATTATTCTAGACCTCCTGAATTGAGTTTCCGTCTTGGTAGATGGCAGCAGCATACGAATGCCTTGCATTATGCGCCTTACTTAAACTCACTCTTGCTTCATGCTAAGCTATTCAGAAGCGTCCTATTATAGGTTATGGACAGGGTGCAAGAGGAGCGTTAGGGATCTTGGTACAGGGATATTGTATTTGTAAAACTTATACCTCTTGTACGAATGTAGTTTTGGCATCATGGTCAAGACGTTTGAATACAAAAGTCAAATACTGTTTTCAAATTCCGAAGCTTACTGCATATCTTGTTGCTATGCGCGTCGATCGCCACGCCTTTCAACTACGTCATGTGAACATTTATTTGTATTGCCCGGTCAGTGACACTCATCGAGCGGAAAACTATTGTTTGTTGTATAGTGTACACGCGTTCAAAATGTGACGATTTATCTTTAGATAACAGCTCTATTGTTATGTCACTATTTTTCCATAACAGATCTTCAGGAAGCTGAAATATTGCAACTTGCTGTCAACTCCTCCTGTTGAAGATTGTGGAACTCAAGGAAAGAGCAAGCATACACTTTCCAACATTAACTTGTGATATACTACATTATCAAACATACTTCAGGTTTCTTACCATGAGTAGCAGTTGGAAGTCATACTTTAAGGGAGAGGAACATGCAGCAGTTTATAATAAAATTCGTCCATCTCCACCTCAAGCTCTTATAGAAAATATTGTGGAATATTTATTGGAAAAGGTAGAAAATTTAATGTATTAAATTTTTATTTTGCAAATTTATTATGAAATGATTGTTTTTTTTAATGTTACCATTATTTACAGCTTAAATCACCTCTGAATGAAGCTCTTGATGTTGGTTGTGGTTCTGGGCAAAGCACAAAAGTCCTAGAGCCATATTTCAAGAAAATTACTGGTATTGATACATCTGAAGAACAAATCATTGAAGCACAGAGCAAAAATACCTACCCAAAAATCACATACAGGTGTCAATGTCTGATATTTTGTTTTGAATTAATGGTATAGTTTTAGTTATTGCAATTTTTAAAAGTTATTTTTTATTCGTTTGTTTTAGAATTGGGTCTGCAGAAAAGATAGAATATCCAGATGCTTCTGTTCAATTAATTACTGCTTCTCAAGCTTGTCACTGGTTTGATCTGCCAAAGTTTTATGAAGAAGTAGAGAGAATATTAGTTCCTGGAGGGATTCTAGCAATGTATGGTTATTTGCTTCCCACACCCATGTGGAATGAAAAAACAGAAGAATTAAGTGGTATTGTGTATAAGGTATTAAAAATTCCAGATTAAGTTATATTTGTTTTAAATTATTATTCACAATTTTAATTAATTTTCTTATTTATAGTACTATAACATAGCTCTTGGCAAATACATTCCTCCTGAAAGTAGAATGGTGTATCTAGAAAATTACAGAGGGGATGATTTTATGAAAATACCATTTGCAAAGGAGCCTATTATCAGGTATTGATGAAATTAAATGAGTATATCTTTCTTGTATTGTATGTATTGCATTGTACATTTTTCTGTAGGGATGAATCGGTTTCTTCTGAAACTCCAGGAACTGTTGCTGATATTGTTGGTTTCATGAAGAGTGGATCTGCTTTCCAAAATTTTTTAAACATTGAAGGATCTGCAAAGGCATCTGCTTTGCTACAGGAATTTGAGAAGGAGTGAGTAAATAAAACTGATTTAAGAAACATTAATAATTGCAGGAGTTATCCAAATTACTGGAATTCAGATGTCTAATAATTCACTTATTCCTGGTTATTTTCTCTCTAAATCATTGTTCTGTGTGTAAAAATGGCCATGTGAGATTAGTATCATTTTACAGTAGACACAAAACTACTGATCAGAGCAGTCAAGACGCTAGAATTCTCCTCTAGATAGCAAATGAATTCGACCTCTCTCTCTCTCTAGCTAGTGTAGAAAATCTTGCCTCCACTTGGACTTGAACCCTGGAGTTTCTGGTCAGAGGCACTGCAGTGACATCAATTGATGCCCTGAGCCACCTAACCTGGTCCATTTGGAGAAAATGGTCAGTTCATTAGGAACCAACAACTAAAGTATCTTCACTAGCAATTCAATCAACAATGTTTCTTACTTCTTAAATCTTACATTACTAATTTTTGTTAAAAGTACATATGGCCAGTTTTGCAGGTGGAATAAGGAACTTTTTTTTTTTAAATATCTTCTCCATCCATGCAGATAATTCTTTTTATTCTAAATGGTTCCAGAATTCCATTATTGTGTTGTTGTTGGAACATTCACAGTTCAAGATATTTTAAAACCTTTTTTATACAGAAATTTTTCAGAAATAATCTTTCATTTTTCTTTTGTTATATATTTTATTTTATTCCCAAAAGATGTTATTTTTCAATTTGTTAGCATTCTAGCGTAGAGGACAGCAGCAGAACCATGGGAGTTGACAGTTGGCAATACCTCCTTCCAAAATTCTAATGTGGAATATGTTTTATTTGATTCCCAAAAGATGTTATTTTTCAATTTGTTAGCATTCCAGCATAAGGGACAGCAGCAGAACCGTGGGAGTTGACCGTTGGCAATACCACCTTCCAAAATTCTAATATGGAAGAATTGTACTTCAGAATACATAAAAATTTTATATCTAGTCTACTTATGAAAATAGTGTTCTCTAATCTTCTTGAACTTTCTAATATTTTTAATATTACCTCATAAAATTGGAACCTAAAAATTTCCTGAATTGATGACTTAATTTTAGGAAACTATTTTAAATCTTTTCTTGATTTCTGTACATTCTTTTTTTTTGGGGAGAAGGGCAGTGCTGACAAATTATTTTGTTAAGGAAAGGAAGATTGATTAACTCACAAAAACATGTGTATATTTAGCATTTTTGCATAAGCTAATTATCTTTGTATAATGTTTTTAGGCTTATGGACACCTTGGGCATATCAGCTCCTCCAGAAGAAACACCTATTATTATTCAGTACAAATATTTCGTAATAATGGCTAGGAAGCCCCTCCCATAATACGAAATAAGACTGAACCTGAGCAAAGCTTTTGTTGCAGAACATATATGTAACATCTATATTCACTGAATGGTTCTGATAAATAAAACTTTTTTTTTGTCATTTGGTTGAATTGAAATAATTCTCCATATGAAGTAGTTCTTTGGAACACGTTTGATTAGGAATGCAAATGGGAGTCATGTTTGTATATAGATATATCTACATTCTTTGTTGTTATTTTTAATACTAACTCGCAAATTTATATAAAACTGACAATGGATGGAAATCTGTGTATATTTCTTAAATAAATTGTAAAATAAAACAAATATTTTGTTTCATTATGTTCAATAATTTTCTAGCTGAAGTAATGAAATTTACATATTTCAGTGATAATATTAAGAGACATATACATGCTTATTTCAGGTATTAGCACCCTGAGCTGCGTAAAGAGTTTTCAGTTCTTCTAAACAAAGGTTCGCCTCTTCTAGTGTTTCTTTGTCATTCTTCTGCTTTGCGTTTCGCCAGCCTTCCTTGCAAGCTTGTTTAGCTTCTTCAAACATTTTTCTTTTCATATAGACAGTGCCAAGATTGACATAAACAGCAGCAGCTTCTTCCATATCTGGTATTTTTTTGGTGATATCAATAGCTTGGTTGAGGTATTTTATTGCTTCATCATAATTATTTTGTAAACAACACAGAGTTCCTAAGTCATTGAGAAGTATAACATTTTGCTCATGCACTAAGCCATTGACACGAAGAGAAGTTTCATAGGCCTTCTCAAAAAATGCGAAAGCTTCTTTGAATCGATTTTGATCCATAGCAAATCTTGCATACCAGTCCAGGGTCATTGCCCAAAGCAGCAATGTGTCATCATCAACACTACCTCTCTCTACTTTCTTTTGCAAGTGATTCTCACAGAATTTGAAGCCTTCTTCTGCTTTTCTATTTAGATAGAAACAAAAAAAATTGTTTATACAAATTTGAAGAATACCAAAAATTTATGAAAATAAGTTTGAAGGTCTTTCTTACATTTTATTTCCTTTTTCTTTATATATACTGGCAAGTTTTAGACTGATGTGTAAAACTTTGTTGTCATCTTCTGCACAACCTGCTGACAGCAACCGTTGTAGCACAGTAACAAATAATTTCTCAGCTTTGGGTAAGTCATGAGCCTCTAAGGCTACATTTGCCAACAAGTCATAAATGTATGTGATTGCATCGCTGTTTTGTTGTTCTTGGGCAAGTTTAAGTGCTATGTGAAGCATTTGTTCTGACTTTTGTAATTCACCTTGCTGAACGAAGAAAAAAATGAGAGGTCAGTATTCATATGCAAATGAATGTCATTCTCAACAAATATTCAATTAATGGTACTGCTATGAACATTGTTTTCAAGGTTACCTTTGCCTTGATGCAAATTAGTACATACTTGTATTAACAACACTCCTCTCTTCATTGTGGTAATTAACACTGATTCAGGTTCTTCTTCTTTCTGTAATCCTAAAAAAGTTAGAATTCCACTCACTATAAAATAACCATTGAAACCACCTATATGATGCCCCTTACATGTTTCTGTATAATCAAAGAAGTTCCATTTCGCGTAACGTGAAGCAGGAACCAACGACCCAAATGATTTAAACCGAAATATTTGGAGGGCAAAACTTTGGCTTAAAAACTGATTATATATGTAATATATTTTTTGGTTAGGGCAGGCTCTGTTGGTTAAACTTGGAAGTCGATTGGAAAGAATACGTATCATTCGTGACATGCTGAGCCAAATAGAAAAATGTACTTTTCAAACCAACTTGTCAATACCACTGATCTGTACATTTAAAATTATATGTAGGCTACAGATCATTAGTCAACACTGGCAAGCGCTGGTAATATTTCAATTGATTTCAATGGCCACTACTACACTTGCACCAACATGCACCTGTGACTGGGCCAGGACTGGGTTGGACTCGGGCGCGCTCGGGCGCCTCTGTCTACGCCACACCTACACCTGTTCAGTTCATTTCAACTGGTGGCTTAGGTTTCTCAGTTGTATTTGAGCTCAACACTCTTTGAGTTTTCTCGATATGCGTCGGTGTGAAGTTATGGGTATTTGTAAAGTTAACGAGAGGCAAAGTTTGTTGTTGCATTGGTGACTTAATTGTTTTTGTAATGTCAATATACAAAAGTAATAACTTCTAGTCGGAACTGAAGTTCTGGAGTGTTTAGCTGTAGTATTAGGATAGAAGCTAAGTGTGTCCAGAATTTGTAGTGTACGGAAGAACTCGTCTGTTTGTGCAATAAGCAGGTAAGGAATGCAAAAATTGCGTACGATAGTGTGATCTGGGAATATATCGTCCCAAAAGTCAAATAATTTGTATCTCAGTGAAATTTGTTGCGCAACTCATCAGCCAATGAATGTGAACATGGTTTATTTCTACAATCTATTGAATTTTGCTTGCTCTTGACGACAATATTCACTGTGCAGGGTATGAAAATGAGTTCCAGTGTGCCAGACAAGGCAGTTCAGGATGACAGCAGTACCCACAACACATGGGTTCGATTTGAAGATGAAGATAGAGGCCAAAATAGATCACAAACAGAAAGAGTTCAGCCGAGTCAAGGAAATTCGTCTATTTTAAGTGGAGAGGAGTACAGTGTTTCACCTTTAAAAACAGAAAATGTGAGAGAACCTAGAGCAAACTCACCTGAAAAATTGTCTGAAGCAAGAAATGAAAAAGAAATGAAAGCTGTTCCCACTGGCACTCCTCAATATAGTGGTGCAATTATTAATCCTGAGACTGTGCATGTAAATTTGGATCGCAGCAGTTTAAACCGTTCCACATCTGTTGAAGAACCACAGCAAGAAAGTTTCTCTAACAACAAAGGAGATGGTGGAGGACGAATGCGAAATGTAGATTTAAGAGAAGTTAGTAATGGACGGCCCACAGCATCTTCAAGAGTTTCTGCTATAGACGGTTCTGTTCGACAAGGCTTTGGTAAACGTTTATCGATGTATTTGAATTGTTTATCATTTTGTAACGTTTTTGTAATTCATTAGTGTTTCCTCTTGTTGCAGCTAATGGTGATATTATTGTCACTTTGCTACCTGTAAATACTAGGTGGCCTTGGATTACTCCAGCACAATTCCGACCAGAACTAGTTCCTGAAGAACTGATGGCTCAAGGATTAACGGTAACTAGAGGAAAGATAAAGTGAATCACAAAATGATATCGTAGTAATCTGACTACATAATATTTGTAGTAATCTGATCAAGATCCTGAATTGTTTTCAATCTTCCCTTGTCCGTTGACTAATGACACAAATGTTTTTTTTTAGCTTACTGTTGAAGAGTATGTTCATGTTATGGAAGTCTTAACGAATGATGTGCGTTTTAATATTTACAATGTGTGTTACAAACGCATTCTTGTGGTATGGATATTCACAGCATTTGTGGTATTACTTGGGTTGTTATTTTCGGGTGTTACTGGACTAACTTTATTTGGTCTGGGGGTTATGTGGCTTGTGCTGAATGCATTAGCCATTTTTCTTTGTATGTGGATTAAAATTAAGGTATGTATGTTCTCATTATTTGGGTCAAGTATTAACTACTTTTGTAAGATATTTGATGATTTATAATATCTTTGTGTTGCAGCTGAATCACAATTTGGAAAGATGTATGGCTCAAGTAAATAAGCATTTGTTACGCCATAAAATTATTTTGGGATTGGATGACAGAGGCAAACTCTCGTGCCACAAAGTGAATCTTTGCTTCATTTATTTTGATACTTCTGATTGTATTGTAAGTATTAGTATACAAGTCATCTATTTGCTTTAGTCTTATCCTGGCAGCACACGCGCCTCTTTGTGTAGCATCAGTGCATGCACCTGGTCTCACAGACCCTTCCGTTTGCAGTTCCCTTGATTCAATTTCCCCTTATAATTTGGTCAAAGGAGTATACCAGAAGAAAGATTAATATTATTTTCATTAATGAGATATATTTAAGATATATTTTTAAATAATTGAATACTGTAATGAGTGGTTTGTATGCAAAATAACAAAACTGAAAAAATTAAATTGGCTATATTTTACATTTCTGACAACTTTCCTTTATTTCATGCTTTAGAAATTGTTAATGAATGCTCCAAACAAATAAACTTTTTGCGTATTTGGCACTAATATTTTTTTAAGTCACATAAAGTGCTAAATGAAAGCTGTTGCATGAGTACATGCAGGTGGTCTCTGATGCCCGTGCAACATTTTGGAATGTCTCACCGCTAGAAATGATAAAATTACAAATGTTTTTGGATAAAGCGACTCATCTGTTGAAGGAAAAGGTACCTGGAAGCAGCGGTCAGGAGCGGCCAAACTGCAATCCCAACATTAGAGTAAAGGTTTCCCGGTTCTCTCAGACCATCTGCATGCACTGCTGAGTTAAAATTGAATTTTATGTCTTTTGACTGTTATAGAAAAAATTGCAAGAAGTGATTGAAAGAGAAGAATGTGAAGGGAGACCAGTGAATCGTGAAGAGACTGCTGAAGAACGAAGACAACGGCAGCAATTCCAACAGCGTATGGACATAGAAGATCATGATATCATTATACAAGGGAGCAGCACTACTCGTTTGTCTCGAAAACAGGTAAGAGATGCTAATGAAGTTTTAAACAACAAATGTATTGGAACCTAAATGCATTTTTTGTTGTCCTTTTTCGGTGTTAACTTAATTGTTTTTAATAAAATGTTTTATTCTTTTTATTTGGAATGTTCTTAATTAATCTGTGTATGAATTGATATTTTGAGCTAACTTTTATCTTTTGAAAGCTTCCATTAAAAGTGTTGTGTGTACTATCTTTAATGTTAACTAATTGAGTGGAAAAATTTTAAGAATTACCTTGAACTGCAGGCTAGAGGTGAACAGTTGCTGGCACGCTATTTGCAACGTTGGGCTAAAGATTATCTTCGACGGCGTCTTGACTGGACTGTGGATGAAAGTGGGGGAAACCCCATGGATCCTCGTCATTTAGCGAGGGCTCTTTGCCCTTGCCAGTACATTGAAGAGTATTTAAGAAATAAACCCCGGTCTGATCAACGAGCGTTTTGTCCATGCTGTGCATCATGGCTTGCAGAGCGTGGAATAGATTAGACTTCATAATGGAATCTGCTTTTAATCTATTTTCTAGTATTTTTATATGGTGTATATGGTTTGATAAATTTTCTCACTTCTTTTATCATTTATATATAAGTTCTGAAACAAGTAGTTATTCAGATTAAGTGGATAAATTGCAAATGAGATTTTCTTGAAACTCTGAATAATCAGAATTAAGGAACATCTCTACTTTTAGGAATTTTTGATTTCATGAATAGAGAATTCGTACTACCTTACTGAGTAAAAAATACCAACAGATTTTGTGCCTTTAACTAAGTGATCTTTGAATTTTTTTTATCTCTTTAAATATAAGTTCTTTGGTAACACTTGTAATATTTTCTCCATTTTTATTCGATTAGAAAGTGGGTTAATGTTGAGCCAAATGTTTCAGAAAACATCACAGCTATAAGTCTAAGAAATGTTTAGTTAAGGTATTTTTCTTTAAGAACTTTTACATAGTATGACTTTTCTCAGTTAATGAGCAGTAGAATTTTGATTATTCTAACATCTTTTCTCTGGTCGTACGTGAAAGAGTGTTAAATGGTAGAACCCAGAAGACCCTTAACTTCCTTAACAGATGTAAATTTCATTTTCTCTGAAGGAATAAGACGTTTCATGATTTTGATAAAGATATTTGTACCAAACTAACGTGAAAGCTTGTTGCATTGTACTTGTTTGCCAAGGGAGACTTCTGCATGATCTTGTATATGCATGCCCTCTCTTGAAATGGTGTAAATTCTAGTGAGAGTGGGGTAATTAACAGAGCTTGTGTTAAAAATCGTACAATCAGATTTTTAACAACAATCCATAAATTTTTAAAATATGTTATTGTTTCAAATTTTAAGATCAAGAATGACTAAATAGCGACTCTAATGTGTCCCGTTATTCAGATACTGAACATAATTACAACAAATCCAATTACCAGTTCATAAAATTTTTTTTTTATGAACTGGTAATTGCATTTGTTATTGTTTTACATTTAATGCATTTGTAATTTTATACATTTAATCTAGACTTACCCTAAAATTGGGTACTTAATATCTTGAAGGAGTTGAATTAATTTGGCTACTCTTTTGGACTGCATTATTTTGTCATGTACACAATGCTGCATCAATTAGTAGCCTCTTTTGGTTGTAATTAGTAGTGTCTATCAACCATCCTGTCCAGAGCTTTCCACAACTCAGAGTATGCCAGGAAGGAAGAATTAATTTTGTCATTTTGCATCTTGAACTACAGATCTAAAGTAAGGATGGGCTTCACATTCACTGCATTTACACTCTGCTTTTCTTAATTTCTTTTGCTGATAATTTCTTATACTTTAGTGGTCTATTCTATTTTTTATGGTTCAGTGACTTGAGAATACACACACCAATACTATCCTAGATTATGCATTGCTTTTAATGTTAATTACTTGTGGTTTTGGTTTCTGGTGATGCTTTAATTCTTGTCTTTTAACCATTTCAGGATGACTCTCATGTGTGAATGAAACTGTTCTTTTCATGTAATAATTAATGTAATACTGACTGTTTAAGATCTTTTAATTCTAGTTGCTTTTTCACTTAGGGAGACAACATTTTCTACTCAAGCAGAACTGTTTAGAGTTTATTATTTTATTTAATATCTAAAACTATTTTTATTACAGAATTTCTTTGAATGCCTTGACACTAAGTGCATTGGCTTTTGCTAAATACCATATCTGGTGTGCAGTTATATTCTTCTGTAGCAATGTCTCATAAATGGCACAGCTTGGCACCTCAAGTCAAACAAATTAATTAAATTATTTGAAGTTGTGATTAGTAAAAATAAAATATCTATAATCAGTATCTTAAAGAGCGATTGCTCTGATTATAGATATTTTATACAGTATACTCTAAATTACTCTTTATTATACTCTAAATTTGTAGATATTGAAGTTCAGAAAAATACTTGGATACTTTGAATAATCTCTCCTCTCACCCTCCCTTTGAAAAGAAAGGAAACAGTAGTATTCATTGTGTGGTTTTAAATAAATACGGAGTAACTTAAAAGAGTTTTAAAAATAAATATGAGACTAGTTCTATGAGAGCTTGAGGGCTGAGTAACCATTGCTTTCTCTTAAAACGCAAATCCTTTTAACTTAATTGTTCCCTTGCACTTTTTCTGGTAAAGCTATCTTCAGTGGTACAGAGGTGGTGGGATTAATGTGTGTGTGTTGCACAGGAACGTGCTGAGATGCTCTTTCTGCGCTACTCCCACCGGTGGGCTAAAGAGTTTGTGCGCAAACACTTGGAGCTGTCAGTGGATGGCGCGGAGCGCGGAGGGCTGCCCTCTGCGCCCCCCCGCCACTGCATCTCTGCCCGCTGTCCCTGTCAGTTCATTGAGGAGCACCTCAAGTATAAACCTCGAGGCAAGTGTTCCTTCAAGCAATTTTGTTCCCTCCCAGATTTCATCTAGATTCTGCTTTAAAACTGCACATCAGCATTTGTCTTTGGTGGGTTGGCTGTGGTTATGTGCCTCTCTGTTTCTTGCAGGGTTCTTGTTATAGTACAAACAAATGTAATTGTAGGAAACAAAGAACAAAATTAGCACCATTTTTATTTTTCTGTTTAACTAGTGGACTGGAAGGTAGTCTTTAATTTTTTGGTACTGTTCTACATTATTTTTAGTGATCTATGTACAATTATACATAGTATATCTTGTACATTACTAAATGTACTTTGAACTCCGAGAACTGGTAGATGGGGTCTAGGGAAGCAGTTTTTGTCAGCGAACCCTGCCTTTTCAAAGGCTCAAACCTCTGTGCTAGGGTGGGTCCAAAAACTGTGTCTTTGTCCTCCAGTGAGGTTGGTATACGAATGCCCATGAGCTTTGAGACGTACAGGTAGTCACTGCTTCACTGAAAGAAGCAAGACTTCGTGAGTCCAAAAATATTGCAAGTCACCAAAAGACATCACATTGCAGGGAAAGAGAACAGAAGTGATGAAAAATGTATCATTATTTCAGCTTTACACTTTATTATTCAATTCGATTATTCTTCTTTAGAATGTTTAAGTGTAAAGTTGAAATCACTGTTTGTTTTCATGCATCTCTGTACCCTTCAAAAATCTGAAACCCATTGGCAATTTGTTCTGCAATTATTTTTTTCACCTTAAATTTTTTTAAGTTCTGTTTTAACTTTTCTAGTGTGGAACAGTGACCATCTGTGTTACTCAGACAGCGTGTTGGAATGTCAATCTCACAGAGGAATAAATGTGGTTTTTGTCAAAACCAAGAACCAAACCCTGGGTGCTTAGATCCAGGGTTCATGTATGAAAACTGCTTACCTTGACCCCCCTCTACTTCTTAATTTTAATCTGCATATTATATTGTTATATTTTTATATAATTATTCATGTCAAACATCACCGAAAAATTCTGTAGGAACAGAGGCACATGTAAGTCTTGGAGGATTTTTTTTTTTAGTGTGTTTTTCTGAGGTTGGTGTGACTGTACTTAAGAAAATCTCAGGGGTCTGTCTCATATGTGGTGCTTGGGTCTTCATTTTTCTTGGAGATTTGTTTCACGGTGAATGTGTTTAATGGGATGTTTTTATTCACTGATTTAGTAAAGATTTTATCAGAGGTAATCATAACATGTTTTATAAAAATGAGTATTTCTTTTAAAGTGATTGTTTATATGTTACTCATTTTATTTTCTCTTTTGTTTTAACTAGTTTGTTACAATTCATATTTTTATTTCTGTGAATTTTTTATGTATATATTTTTGTTATTGAGTCTTGATAGTTAAGATCATGTTTACAAATGCTTGTTGTAAGGATTGTTTGGTAACAGAATAATGTTCTGTGCCTTGGAATATAATTATTCAGTATTGATGCAAGGCTATTGCATTAAGTGTGAAATTATTCATTTGCAGCCTAGAATGGATTTTTTTAAATATAATGTACTTAAATATTATTTAGTATATGTGATTTACTAAATAATTATGTATTATTTAGTATGTTAGTATTGCTCTTTTGAAGGTTTTATTACTTGTGAAATTCTTTTCTTTAAATCGTTTATCAAAGAAAAAATGTTTCAAAGACTGTTGTGAAAGCAAGGCAGCATTTATTCAAGTAATAGTGCTAAGTGATAAGTTATATTACTCAATTCATTCATATTGTGGCCCAGAAATGAGTAAAAAAAAAACGAAGAAAAAAATTTAAATATGATGTTTCAAGTATTTTTGTAAAAGTATTAACAACTCATTTTAATTAACATTACATTGAAATCTTGTATTATAGTAGATTGAAATATTTTCAAACACAAATTCCAAGTGCATTTATTAATGTAGTTTTATGCTCCTGTGATTTTTGGCAATGACATCCAGTTTTGTCATTCATTTGTGTGTTTTCATGATCAAGTAGCATATTGTAACAATGCTTACAAGACGTTATTGAGACTTGAGATTTTTCATTCCGTCCAACACATAAAGTGTATTTTTGTGTTCACCCTGGAGGCATTTTATGAAGTCATATCTATAATAGTGTGTGGAGTTTTCATAGTCAATAAACAATGAAACAAAGAACTTGCAGACATCTTTTTGTTTTGTTTTTCTATTTTAATGAATCCTTTATTACCAAACATGAAAAATGAGTCTAAAAATGACTGAAATTGCATCTTCAGTTTGATGTATCTAATTCACTCGGTTGAATTTTGAATGGGGTGATTAAGTCTAATAAAGTACTGCTGTGAGAATAATTATTAGTAGTAAAACTTGTAAGGAAGAGGTACGATAATTTGGATATGTTTGTCATATATTTAAGAAGTAAATTAATGAAGCTTGGAATGCAAATTTTATAAAAAATCATTATGGGTATAATTTATGAACTATTAGGATAGGTCAATTTATTTGAATCTCTGTAGAAATGTGAACTATAAATTACATTTTTTCCACATTTTAATTTCCAACTTTTTTCTTACGTGTTGTATTCTCAGATTGTAGTAGTTTTAAATATGTAAAGAATGACGTTTGGTGAAGTTCTTTCTTCAAATATTGCTGTTTGGATCCAAATATTTAATTTTTTCTGAAGATAATGCAATCAAAGTGAATTTAAATGGTAGATTGAAAATACATTCTCTTTTTTAATTTTCAGCTATTAATTTCTGCTTTGGTATGTTCATACTTCTAAGGACAAGTGAATTTTTTGGGTCTTCATTTCCATCTTATTTGAGTATGTTTTCTTGGATTTCTGGCTTTTTAACTTCACAACTTCCTTTTGCATGCAGCGAGTGCCCGCAAACCACGTGTTGCTTTGGTGGAATCATCTTAATTTGTGAGTATTGGGATATACACTATTTCTTTTCATTTTGGAACACAGTTTCGATAAGTGATTTATTTTATGTACATAAATTTTATTATCTTAGGGAAGTGTGCTGATTAGGTTGATTAGTTTCATGTTGCATTGTTCAAATGTTCAGCGAAGAATGTAATGACCATGTTGTATATATTTTTCAAAACAATGTATTGCAAAAGTACATTACCCAGAACAGTAAACATTTACATCAAAATTATGGTTAAAAATTATTTATTATCCATCCATTTTGTAAGCTGACACTGTTCCTGATTCTGCTCTAACATGTTTTCTCACGATATATGAAAAGAAAATGCAGGTATTTAATAATAGATGAAACTGGAGAACAGTCTTCAGAATTGTAGAAAGGAAAGCTTTGAGAGATCTAAATATAAGTTTTTAAGGAAATAATAGTGCAGAAGTCTATATTAATTCCATAATAAAACTCGCTGGAGGAGAAGAATCGAGACTTGAAGAATGAACAAAATGGTGTGTGAACTCTTCTGTTTCCCACCTGAGCTGGTAGTGCAGAAACAGTTGGAACAATTGTTTATCGTGATGATATCTGCATATTTTTTCTTCTTAAACTCTGGGCAGGGTTTTTTTTTTTTTTAATTTATTTTTTTTTATTATTATTCTTATTTTAAGACAAGATCTGTCGAAACTGTAATTTACCTCTTTGGTAGTTTATTACAATGAAACACTTTGGCTTTACATACTTCAAAACAGGTATTTTTTTACTAGTTTGGCATTGTATATTTCAGAACTAGTGTTTTCTACTTCATTTTGTTCTTTGAAGGAGGAACATTTTAGGAACAGTATAATGGAATTAAGCCTTTCATGGTCTAAGAGAACTTCAATGCAACTAAATTTTAATTTCGTAAATTTTCTTATGCAGCCTTTATTAGATTGTCACAAGAAAAATTTTCAACCAGTTAAAGGAAGAAATTACTTCTTTTAATCCATTACCATAAATGTAGCAAATTATCTTATTCTTTTTATCAGTGAATTCTCCTGGATTTGACAATGTGATAGCATTGCTGTGAATGAAATATCTAATCACATACTTCACTAAGAGCTTCTGAGGTTAAATTCATCATTTTCCTACTTCAAAATTAGCAAACTGGGATTTAACGTGATGTATTTTAAAAAGAATTAGATTTATGAACACAGCATTTCCAATTTATGAGTGAAGCATATCATAGTTACAATTTAAAAGTTTCTTCTTAATGCATTGAAACTGCAAAGCATGTTACGGTCCAATTAAAATTATAATGTAACAGAACAGTATTGACTCTTGTCAGTTCTTAAGGCATTGTCATGGATAATTACAAATCATAGTACTTGTATAGATGTGAATTTGATAATTCAGCCTTTCAATTAGTTGCCTCCTCCAAGTATGTCATGGTTATTTTAATCTAAGAATACCAGTATTTGAAGTACATATACTGCAATTTAGGTTGTATCAAATGTTTAGTTTAGGAGAGTGAAAAGTCTTTAGTGCAAAAAGCAAGCACTTTCTGTTCACAAAAAATAGCATTAAAATGTGTCAACCATAGATTAAAATTCTCCTAGTGTTTGTGAATGTATACATGTATGTATGCAAGTTCGAATGCACAAGGCCACTTGTTCTGTTTGGAATACACTATTTCACGATTGTAAAAACAAAATTCCATTGGTCAATCTCACTAGTGACACATTAGTAAATTTCAGATTTGTCTAGTAAATTGAAGGTTCATATTTAACACAAGATCCAATTTTCAATTCTTGAACTTGTTTCCTTTTGAAATTTGCAACCAAAGGGGAAAAAATTAAACTTCCCTGAACACAGGTCCATATAACAAAGAATTAATAGCCAACTTGTTTAGACAGATTGGAGGTTCATAAATAAATGTTGAAAGCTAACAATTTGCCATTGTTCCATTGAAAAATAATTTTTAAATTGATGTGCCACATAAATTGTTGTGAACAAAGCATGTCCTGACTTCATGATATAACTTCATCAATGGATCATAAATGCTCAATATTAGCCACAAATTGTCATTTCTCTTTCAGGCAATGGAAACAAAAAATCTAAATTGAAAGTTTAGAAATGAGCCATATTATAATGGTCCAAAGTATTAAAGAAACCGTAATAGAAAGACCTGAAACCAACCATAAGTGTCCAAAGCGAAAGGAAAATTGCTTTGAGTTAATGCATGAACATGTAAATATTCTAGACAGAAAAATGCAAGAAACTTCGGAATTACTATAATTTTCTAGTCCTAGTTAATCCCCTTCTGTAATGGTGACTGGGCCTTGCTTTAACTTTCATAAAGCTAATGTTTGATTACACACAATTAAATTTTTTTTTAATCTTGAATATGTGAGCTAGTGTACAAGTGTGGATGGGTGTAAGTAGAATGATTATGTAGTGGGTAGTTCAAGAGGGAAAGAGAGAAATCTCCAACTCAAATGGAACAGTTTTGTAAGTTTTACCTTCTGGTTATGAATGACATTCAACATGTGCTTCTGGAAAGCATGATAATTTGCCTGGATGTTATTTAATAATGAATTTTAGTTACTAACTCTAATTCAATAGTGTTGTAATTGCCATTAACAATTGCCTCCTTGAAAACTGTGTTCTTCAACTTGGGTTCTCTAGTTCAATCATCATTACATACAGATCATATTCGTAGAGTTCACTACATTAAATCACACATTATAAATCTTGTACTAAGTGCTTAAAATTTGTTGCTTGTTGATAAAATGCAAACTATTTATTTGATGATGTGTTTCTCCCTAGTATACTCTGCAGATGAAGTATAAAGGTAGGTCTTATGTCAAGCCATCCAGATTACATGGTTCTGAATTTAGACTGAAAATGAATTACCTTTTTAAATAGAAATTACATCCTTAGTTTGTCTTAACTCTAAAATCTAAACACTGTCAGTATTTAAAAGAGTATTATTTTTTTTTCAGCTCTTCTTCCTTACTGCAATATTTGTGTCTACATGACTGATCCCCATGTTGATATATTTTATTAATTTTGTTCCAATGTGATTACTCAGTACAAATTACGTATTTCTAAGATTCCATGTAAAGTATCAAAGCATTTATAGTTTCTTTATAAGGGTTTCAAGAGTATGTTACCATGTTATGGTGAGTAGGATTATTAGCAATACTAACAGGAATGTGTTAAATTTTTCACCACTGTAGATACTGTAACACATTGTTAATACTGTAGAGATTTAAACTTGTGCTGAGTGTTCAGAAATGTAAATTTACTATGTTCACTAATCCGTCCTACTTGCATTTAATATTCAGTGCTGTGTATACTATGAATACACACGTGAGATCAGGATTTCAAATATAAGAAAACCGATCAATTATATAGATCTCTATCAGAGTTATCATTCTGTATTGTTTATAATTTATATGAAAGAACTACACTGGTATGTGCCTTGTGGGGATGATTTATCATCACATTCAGCCTGGGTATTTAATGTGCTATATTGTAATTTTTCTGTGCATTTGAACTCCGTTTGAATTTAGTGGCATTTTTTCTCTAAATATATACAATCACACACGAGTTCAGGAGAATCTATTTTAATTTTCTTGGGTTCCAAATATGTACTCTGCATTTTGTAAGTCAATGAGGTGGAGAAAAAGTTTAAGAATAAACTTTCTTGCTTTATTGTATAATCATTAAATGTATCCCAAATGTTAGAAATGCTTATTAAATTGTAAATATTAAAATAAAAAAAACATCAAAACAAAAACTTGGTGTTTACTTCAGAGCATTAATTGCCTGTTTGCGGATCTCTTCAGCTTTTAATTTCAGTTCTAGATTACTGGTTTGAAGAAATTCATTTTGGGATTGCAATTTCTTCATAATGTCTCTTAGGTTTTGATTGATTTCAACAAACATTTTAACTTGTTCAAAGAGTAGTTCAGGATCTGTTGAATGTTCGCTGAAGTTAGAAATTTGAGTCTCATCTGGATGTAACATTTCTGAAATAGAAAGTTTACGAAATTAAAATAAAAGAAATACTTTTACAATCAAGAAAGAGTACTAAAATGACAGGTGTCTTTAAGGATTAACGAAATTAAAATGTAACTTTAATGCCGTGTTATTTCTATAAGTGTATATCAATAACATATATGATAATAAAGAAAATACAAACCTTTATGAGCAGTTGTCTTCAAGACGTTACAGAAAACATCACCATCTACTGCAGCTTGGAGATCTTCAATTAACATTTCGCCCGTAGGCGGCTTGGGGCGCGGTGGTATATTAGCCTTCTTTTTAAACATCGTCAACGAGCACCAATTGTTGAATGTCAGCGACACTAAAGGTTTGAGGTGCAAATATTTATTTGCCTATAATTTTGTACGCTGTGACAGCCCACCTAAGACGTTTTAGTGCTATTTGGCATTTTCCACTTGCATGCACGTAACCTAAACCAGGGTTGCCAGATGCTTCGTACATACATCCGCCGTTAGATGGCTGTAAATCCGCCCAGTAAGAAAAATGCCAAGATTCCGAAAAACTTTCCAAGCGGGAAATTTGAATTTGCATTAAAATAATGGTATTTGAAGTGTTTTGAGGTAGTAACTGTATGAAATGCTTGATTAGTTTTATTTTTTGTTTTGGGAATGGTGTAATTAATTATTTATGTAAAACTATACTTTTTGTTGTAAGTTATGTATCAATATTTAAAACCTAGTTATGACTACAACAGATTGGAGGAAAACTTTAAGGGATAAAATAATTATTTTCAAATGAGATCATTATTTATAACACTTTGTCATCACATTTGCATTCATCGTGCTCCTCTTAAATATCCGCAGATAAAAAGAATACCACAGAAATGCTTACATACGCGTACTTATTACCTATGTCATACTTATTTAATTTTAAATGTGTCATAAAATTAACCGCAAGTTCTGCCAATGTGATATACTTGTATACTTACGTCGTGCACGACAAGGGAGTTAAGACTTTTTAAACACCCTATACTACAGATCTAAAAACTAACATTACTCACTTCTGGAAGAAAATTTGCACGAATTATTAATGATAAATCACGTATAAAGAAAAAAACTAAAAAATAAAACTATCAACGTCGTTGTGGTAGTTTGAAAATTTCGTCGTAATCTGAAAAACCGCACATACTTCAATGCATTACCGTCAACGAGTTAGAATATATAATAATATAATAGTATATTATTATTATTATATATTAAATAGGAGAGGAACAATGTGGTTTTACTGCCGGCAGGTCGGTCATAGACAATATATTTACATTAAA